GCAGGGAATGAGGTGCTGACGCACGGTTGGCGGAACAGGTCACTGGAGAGCATCTTCACAGATGGACCTTGTTTCTGGGGATGTGATGATGAGCTTGGTGGATGACAGGAATGCAGTGAACTAGGAATCTTTCTGCTTCACTTAAGCGTTCGTGGGCTCTTCTTAGAAATCTCGGAAAATCAGCTGGTTTCATATCCGTGAGTTATAGCTCTGTGGGCTCGTCTTTCCTCTCCTGTGAAATCGTTCGCCAAGTGCTTAGTAATGGCCCCGTGTCAAGTCGGGAGGAGGTATTGATCTCAAGAAAGCACTTTTCTCAATTGCTACCAGCTTTGGAAATTAAAATTGACATTAAGCTTTCTAATTCCTTGGAAGAAATAAATGGAAATCAATAAAAGAAGGTTTACTGGGGATTAAGCAAAGAAATTGGTTGGGGAAGAAAAACTGAAACTGCAAATGAAAAATGGGGCCGGCAGAGGTGTGGGCGGGCGAGAGTGCGCCGTGGGAAAGGAGCGTCAGCGGGACGAGACGCTGTGTGGACGCCCAGTGTCGCAGGGCTGGAGCCACACTCGCGCCTCAGGGCGGGGTAAATACGTAACAGCCACAACGGCGCTGCCATCGTGGATGTCGGCTCTAACCTGATGTCTTCTTGGCGGTTTCCCCAGCTCAGGGGAGCCCTCGCCCATGTTCACTCCCAGCAGTGGTGGGCCGCCTCCCCTGCTCCCGAGAGGAGGATGCCTGGGGTCCGTGTGGCCCAATTTAGCGGTAAGGGGAGGTAGACTGGAGCATTCCTGAGGGCTGTGAAGGAGCCCTGCGGGTCCAGCCATGGTTTGGGGACAGTGAGGCAGGGGAGGATTGCCACTGGCAGGAATAGACCTCCTGGACCAGGGGGTCTTTGGGTGAGGATTCACAGGTGCTTAGGTGTTTGCTTGCCGTGAGTACTCAGATCACAAGCACGTCCCGGCTCCTTTCTGGCTCCGAGTGCTGGGGTGGTCTCCCCACCTCCTCTGCCAGGCACCCACCTCCTTCAAGGCCCTTCCCATCTGTCCTCTCTTCTAGAGGACATCCCAGGTCCCCAGCAGACCCTGTGGCCTCTCCTCTGCACTCCTGTGAGCGTCGGCGCACGGCTCCATCACCGCCAACACGACTGGCGTGTGTCCTCCCCTAGGCTGTGAGGGGTGAGGGCACCTCCACGTTCCCCCCTTAGCTCATGCCCGGTGCGCAACTGTGAGCTTCACAGATGGTCCTCAGCTGATGGCGTGTGGTCGGCAGGCCCTGGCGCAGGAGCGAGGAGAGCTGGGAGGTGGATGCAGAGAAGAGCCACAGGCTCAGAGGATGGGGGTCCTGGACTCTGGGGGACCACCAAAGGACGGGCGAGTCTAGGTTTCCTCACTCGAGAGGAGGAATCTGAGATGAGGGTTGACCCTTGTCAGGGGCCTTTCAGACCAGTGGGTGACAGAAGGGGGTGGTGGAATTTAGCGGGACAGGGCGGGGAGTTTTACCTTCACGGCTGCATGCCCAGGGCCTGGCGCGCACGTCCCAGGCGCTCGGGAACTTGCGAAAGGACCCGGCAGGCCTGGCCTGGAGACTGAGGACCTTGAGTTGAGCGTGGCGAGGGATTTCCTTGCCAGGATGGCTGCCGGGCTCTGGAAGTGACCGTGAAATCCCGTCTCGCGTGGAAATCAAGCCGGTGGAGGGGGACCCAGTGCAATAGATGCCCCCAGTGCAGCAGTGCGGGGGCTCGGAGCAGGTGAGCAGCTTCTCAGCTCCCGGGCACTGGGCGGACGGCAGCCTCCCCTCGCTGGCCAGCGCGAGGGCTCCCCGGAGCCTTTAGGACCGCCAGTGTGCAGGCTCCATCCCAACCTCCTTAACCAGAATCTCTGGGGTACTCTGGAGTCAGCCTTTTTTAAGAAAAGCTTCCTATGTGGTTCTGATGATCAGCTAAGTTGGTTGCCAAATGTTGGTAGAGAAAAATAATCAACTAGTACCTTTTTTAAAACTAGCTAATACTAATCTATTTAAAGTGATTTTGGGGCGGCCAGGGGGCCAACGTCATACTAGTAAACTGAGGCAGGGACTGCGGACGTGGGTTGAAACGCCCCTCACAAGTCGTCTGCCCTTCACGCTGCAGAACTAATACTCCACCAGCCGCGGATCCCTCCCCAACACCAAGGACTCGCCTCTACAACAGCAAACACTGCATTTCTGGGAGACTAAACTACTATGTAACACACCTGCATGGGTTCCTTATGGCTGCTGGGACAAATTATCACGAGTGGAGTGCCTTAAAGCAACATCAGTTCGTTCCCTTATAGTTCTGAATGCCAGAAGCCCCAAATCCGCCTCACGGGGCTAGAGTCCAGGCGTCAGAGGACTGGATCCTTCTGAAGGGTCTGGGGGTGTGGGGGAGTCCCCTCTCCCGCCTCCTCCAGCCTCTGACGGTGCCCCTGGGCTTGTGGCCGCAGGGCTCCCTCTTAAGGACACTTGTGACCACCCCTGGGGCCCACCTGGGTAAACTGGCCAATCTGCGCATCTCGGAATCCTTAGTCACGCCTGCAAAGTCCCTTTTGCCCTAAAAGGCAACATTGGCAGGTCCCAGGAATTAGGACGTGGACATCTTCGGGTGTCATAAATCAGCCAACCAGACACCTTTTCAGCCTGAACACATGCCGGCATTTGGCAAGTTTGTTGACTTCCTAAATTGAACGGAACTCAGCTGTGTGGCGTGAATAATTCCATTTGATGAGAGAGTGAGGCCCGCGGAGCTGAGAGGACCGAGGCTGTGTGGCGAGGATGAGGCTGATGTGTCCCGGGGGAGGGTGGCGGCCGGGGCTGAGGAAGCTCGGCGAGGGCTGGAAGCGGTTGTGGGCAAGGGCGGCAAAGGGCCGGGGCAGACCTCGCCTGCTCCTGCGGGCTGCTGTGGAGAAAGGTAGGGCGCGCCGCCCGCCCTGCGCACCTCTGACCGTGAGCCTGGGAACTGCGACGTTCGGACACCTGCTAGTTATTATCGCCATTGCCACAACCTGCTCTCGAAGGCTGTGTCTATACTGCGGTATCAAGTTCCCAGAAGGAAATACTCCATTTTCACTTTGTTTATTTTATCCTTTTAACCTAAAGCCACCCTGTTCTGAGAAACCTTATTCTCCTGCGAAGCAAGGTTTCACTAACGCGAACCTGAGAGTGTTTCTGAGCTTTGCAGCTGCAAATATTAAAATGGAGACCAGCAGGTTACAAATCACCAAGCGCTTTCGACAAGGTCTTGAAGGTTGAAAGGAAGGGGATAGTTTTTAAAAGTTTCTCAAGATTACGAATAGAAAGTCACTGAACTTAAATAGCTGTATTTTAAAAGAGAGAGATTTTTTTCCCTTAAATCAAGTGAATAATAATGTTTTTGTCTTCGACACCAAATGAACTCATTTAAGATGAAAAAGTCCTTTGAGCTGCTAATGCTCGGACCAGCCCGGAAAGAGCGTGCGGCCCCGCTCGGGTGTGTGGGAACGTGCTCTTTCTCGCGGAGCTTTCCAGAGGGAAAGGCGTGTAGCCAAGGGCAGAGCCCCAGGGAGGGTGTCGCCAAGAGGGCCTTGGGGAGAGGGCAGAATCTCAAGGAGCTCTCTTACATTTTGTGCTGGAAAGGAAAATGCCGGGACTATGACACGGATAACCCAGAAGCCAGCTTCCCGTCCTCTCCTGGCTCCGCCGGCTTGGGGTCTGGGCCACAGCGGGACATGCTGAGGGGACACGGGTCTCGGGCTGCAGCCCCACACCCGGACTGCTGGTTGGGCTTAACCTTGATGGAAACGCAGACTCCTTTGAGCCCCTTTTCTTGTTTTTGCTTTATCGAGTAGGGTCCAACGCCCCCAAACCTCACAGGGGTCTGAGGGCAACAAAGCGCAGTGCTGAGGCTCACAGGTGGATTCACGCCACCTCCTCACCATGTGCTGCCTCAGTTTCCCATTTGCGGGTTGGAGTTGGACCCTCAGAAGCACTTGGCACAGAGCTGGGGCTGTGGTCGCTGCCTGGGTGCTGCGTGCTCTTTCCACCGGGGCAGAGACTGGGCCCGACTTGTCTCCGCGCCCGGCGCCTGACAGCGCCTGACAGTGCCCCACGTGCAGCGGGCGCCCGGGCGAGAGCTTAGGGAGTGCGCGCGTGACGGCATTTCTGAAACTGGAGCCCGCTGGGGATAGAGAGGTGGTGATGGGCTGGTGATCGCAACTCAGAAAAGCGCTCTGCACGTTCTCGGGGCCTGGCTTTCCTCTTCAGGAATCACCACCGTAAACCTGTCTCCACGGCCACGTGCACGGCCGTTCTCTTCACACGCCACGACAACATGAGTCGCTACTGCAACCCAGGCTAGGCACCATGGCCACCGGGGGAGGGGCCCGACATGGCTGTGGCGCTGGGGAGCCGGACGCCTGGGCTTCCCTCCAGCTCCCCCCCGACACCGTGCCAATCGGGTCTGCCCTGCACCCGAAGGAGCCCTCACCCGGGGAAACGTCGCCGCGCCCCAAGGCTGCGATATTCTGGGGGAGTCTTGCCTCTGTGTGAAAGTGGCTTGATCCGAAGCCGTCACACCCTGGTTCGGTGCCGCGGCTGTTTTATCCAGAATGCAGCCCAGGGCTGGACACCAAAGACAGCATCAGAGAGGGGCCCTGGTGGGAGGCGTGACTCTCGTCCAAGGCAAATGAGAGAACGGGCAGGCATGGCTGTAAGGTCACAGAAGAAAAACACTGCAGGGTCACTAGGAGCCTACGGAGAGAACTATCTGCGAGCGCTGAAGTGACATCCACTTGCATCACCAGGAAGGAATTTCCATCTGCAGCCGGGTTAGCCTCCGCCTGCGGAGTCACTGAGGCTGCGTAATTAGCAAGGCGCGGGACCCGTGAGAGAGCAGGCCTTCCCTAGTGACGCTGTGCGAGGAGCTCGTTGCACTGTATGTGCCTGAAGGACATCAACTTGTACTTTGGAGGGGAAAATTCTGTGATGTGACGATGTTCCACCCACCCAGGTCCCAGAACGGTCCCTCGCACTATTAGAAATGCTCTTAATGGGCACGTGCGATGTTTAAAACAAGCATTTACAGGGGGCCGTTTCCCTCTAAACAGCCCGCAAAGGCTTCCACGAGTTTAACTTCCATGAATTTCAACATCAGCCGGGTTTTCCTAATGTGGACCCGGGACCCCCGCCAAACGCCACGCAGAGCCCCGGCGGCCTGCGACGCGGCCTCTCTGCCTCCTTTAGCGCCTGTGAAGCTCCACCAGGACGAGGCCGCCACCCGTAACCCTCCAGGAGCCTCTCAAGTTCTGGGTGACAAAGGTGAGGAAACACTGTCCCTGAGCTCAGGGACCTCCCACTGTGACTTGGGCAAGCTGGGCCTTTTTTCTTTCGGAAAATCCGTGGCCTACAACGATTTCTTACAAGGATCACGATTCCCCCCAGATCAGATGTGCCCCTTTGGTTATAAAGCAGAAGGGTGAGGATGCTTCGTTTCTTTCTCTCTTTTTTCCGCCAAACCAAAAGGAGCTGCTACCCCCTTGGAACCGCATGTGTCCTGTCCCCAGTCGGGTCCTCCTTTCCCGTCTGTGCCTGTGCTTGGATCAGCACCGACTGGAAGAGCTGGTTTCAGTGTGGGGTCTCAGGCTCAGTAGTGGGAGGGGAACGTTCGATATTTAAATAGCTGCATCGGAGCTTGAGAGCATCCTCCGAATCTTAAGATGGTCGCTGGGCGGGATGAAGATGCCCTGTCGCTGCCTTGTGTCCTCTGACTGTTAATCTTTGAAGCTTAAATCCCTGTGCTGGTTTTGGGAAGGTGACCTTCCTATGACACGTACCCCACGGGGTGTCGTGGGCCCGTTGAAAGCCGTGTCTGTCACCCTCCCTGAGGGATTGGCGTGAGAGCAGGTCCTCCCAGCTGTTTGCAGACAGGTGGCAGCAGCAGGCATCCTGTAATTCTAGGTCTTCTTTCCTGCAGGACTTTACAGATACCAGCAACCGAGGCCATGAAGGAACCCTGAGGGCCTTTTTGGTGCTGGTACCTGTTAGTGGCTATTGTTGCTTTTTGTTTGTTCTTCACCCACTGCCCTCTTGGGGGATGAAGGTGAAGAGGGTCCATGGAGGGGAAGAGAGCACCTGGGGTGGAGGCCTCCAGGGGCCGCCTCAGGGCGGGGCGGGGAGGAGCCTGTGCTTTGAGGCCCCATCACCAATGCGGAGCTCAGCTGAGCCCCCTGGGAAACTGCTGCAGCTGCACCCGGCCACTCAGCTGTCAAGGAGCCGGGGACACTCACACAGGGCCAGCCCTCTTGCCTGGGCGCCAGCAGGTCCACCTAGAGGACGCAGAGCAGGGAGCTAGCCACCGTCCTCGGGCCAGAGAGTAATTGGGTCCTGAGTCAGCACACGCCCACGAGCTACCCTCTGCTCGATGCAGGTGGAAGCTGCTCAAAATCAATGGCTGGAAACGCTTTCAGAGGCTCCGGCCTTGCCGCCCCCCCCCACCCCCGTTCCTTCTTTTCCTTCCTCTGCTCCTTGGTTCTGCTGCCACTCCAGTGGGCGAACAAGCCGCTCCCCTCTCCTTCCCGGGGCGGTGGTGAGACTGTCACACGGGACAGGCTGGGGCCCTGCAAGCAAAGCTCTCATTAATCCTGACAATGGGAGGGGGGCTTGCGGCACCCCCTGTGGGAGAGAAAAGGCTCCCAGTTTCTGCAGCTCCGGTAACTGGATACCCCGCACAACGGACCGGCCACCCGCAGAGAGCTACTTGAAGCTATTTGGGTCATCAATTAGATGAAATGAGGCATTATAGTGCCGTGAAAGGCAGGCTCTGAATAGATGGGAAAACAGCTTTGCCAGAGTCCCACAGGGAGGGGCCTAGAGTGGACGTCTAGTCAGTCGCTCAGCTGCCGCGGATGCCTCTGCAATGTCCCGCCTGGTCATCCAGTCAATACTCTACTGCCCGGGAACTGTGGCCCTCAAGGAGCCTCCTTGGAATGTTTTAACTGCTATAAAAATTCCTTATGAGTCAAAATCCGTTTCCATTTAGTTTCTTTCTTTTTCCTTTATTTTTGTTTTTTTGAGACAGAGTTTCACTCTGCCACCTGGGCTAGAGTGCCATGGCATCAGCCTGGCTCACAGCAACCTAAAACTCCTGGGGTCAAGAGATCCTCCTGCCTCAGCCTCCCGAGTAGCTGAGACTCTAGGAGTGCACCATGACGCCTGGCTAATTTTTCTATTTTCAGTAGAGATGGGGTCTTGCTCTTGTTCAGGCTGGTCTCGAACTGCTGACCTCGAATGATCCTCCCACCCCGGCCTCCCAGAGTGCTAGGATTACAGGTGTGAGTCACTGCGCCCGGCTTCCATTTAGCTTCTACCCATTCATCTCCTCTCACGTCTGAGGTCACATGGAGTGAATCTGTCCTCTCCTCCACACCTTCAAAATAATTCATAGCAGAGCAGCTGCCAAAACACGGTTTCAGACTCAGACCTCAAGTCCGATTCCCAGCTTTGCCGTCTTCTAGCCAAGTGAGCTTGGTGAGTGACTTAATCTCACTGAGTCCCAGTCCCTGCATTTTAAAATGGAGATTAAAAGCGCACCTAATTCTAGTTAGCATAGGCAACATCACCAAGACAGAAAGCAGGATGGTGGGTGCCAGGGGCTGGGACGGGGATGGGGAGTTAGTGTTTAACAGGGACAGTTTCCATTTTACAGGAATGAAAAGAGCTCTGGAGAGAGATGGTGGTGAAGGTTGCACAACATTATGAATACATTTAATACCACTGAAATGTATACTTAAAAATGGTTAAGATGGTAAATTTTATGTCATATGTATTTTACCGCAAAAATGATAAACTTGAAAAAGAAACAAAACCGAAAACAAAACACAGCTACTTCAGAAATGTGTGAGAATTAGAGGAAATGTCTACAGAGCATGAGGTGAAGGGCAGTCGTCTGCTGCTTGAGCACCCAGCCGGGCCAGGCACAGGGCGGAATCCCAGAACTCAAAGGAGACACAGAGATTGCCCCTTCCTCAGTGCAGATGGACACGACAGCTCTCAGGCATGAAGAGTGAACTGCTGGCACTGGGACATAACGTCCTTGGGTCTTTCCTTCAAGCTAGTCTTGGTTACTTTATTAACTGAAAATTCTAATTCTGCCCCATGATCTCAGACTTCTGGTCAACATGATGTGGCGGATGGAGCTGATATGGAGACCACCCCCTTCCAGAGTGGCCCTGCTCTAAACACACAAATCTGCTTAATAAAATAATAAAACATTTGGAAATTTAGATCCAGGCTGGAAATACCCCAGGGCCAGAATGAAGGGAAGTTTAAGCCATACCCGGGAACCAAGCCGGGAACGTAGTGGACTGTGAACTCTCAGAACTCTGCCTCCCGCTGCAAGAGGGAAGGAGTTGATCTCACAGGGGCTCTCTCTGCCCCGCCCCATGCTCAGCTCAGAGCTGGGCTTAGCACCCATTAGGGAGCCAGGGAAGGCTGCCCCATCTGTGATCTGGGGGCTGGAAATATCTGCCCATCTGGTTGGGGACATAGCTGAGGAGCATACCCTCACTCTAGCCCAGGGGTGAAAAAAGAGTTTGCAGATTTCTGGGCTACTTATAGGTATAGGGTCTGAATTTGTACTGCTTATTGAGGTGCAGAAACCCTGAGCTGAGAAATTAATGTGTGAAACTGATCCAAAATGGTGAAACCCAGGGGGCCCTGAGGGATATCCCCGCATCCCAGGGCAGGTGTAGGACTACATATAGTAACAGCTCACACTGACGTTGATTTCATGGCCAAATACTACACATCACGTGAGGAGCAAACTGCCACGCATGTGAGTGGTTGGCTGCAACAACTAGGATAAAGCAAACCCCAGGGAAC